ATCATCTCTGTAATTTTCAGAAAACAGCATGTGAAAAGAATGGGCCTGCAAGTCTAGCAAATTTGAGAACCATTTGTGATTTGCAAAGGTAGAGATTGTAGCGTCTTCAAGGATGTGCAATATTCGAAAAAGTGAGTTTTCGCTAATAATCAGAACACCAGCTTGTCTCTTCGAAGTAGCCTATGAAGACCAATTCATTGTCTGATCAATGGACTTTCTCCAGTGAACAGCAGATAAGAAAAGAACAGCAGAGGAAACTTTGATTGAATTTTTTGCACCATGACCCTTGCTACGATGAAAGCTTTGCGACCTTTATGCGTAAGTCAAACTTCACAATATAATCAAATACAAGTGAATACTTTACAGATTAATAACACCGATGATTTTTCACACTCATGCTCTGATTAGTAAATCCTACATACAACATTAGTTACTTCATAGAAATCTGGTTGTACAAAAATCAAAATCATCTCTTGGAACCGCTTGTAAATGATGTTAAGACACTCTTCATCAATACTTGAATAGTTTGTGACTCGAAAAAGCTCTTCAGAATCGAAAAAATGAGACGACCAGCGTCGATGAGGAAGAAGCGAAAGAGGCGAAAGAAACGAGAAGCGTAAGGAAAGTTCAGTGTTAAGAGCAATAAGCCAGGTAAGCGTAGTGATTAAGAACTTTGAAAGGGGGATGTTCAGCGCACATTACAGCCAACAACAGCAACGGATTGTTGCAGGGCGATTCCGGCCAGGTACTGACATAAATTGGCCAAAACTATAGCTGCATGGACGATATTCTTCGAGGTGGCATCATCGCGAGCTGCTGCTTCGGACTCCACTGCTTTGTGGCTATGATACCTGGAAAAAAGAAACTGAATGAGGCCTAGATTATGACAAAAAAACGTCGAAATTTTCACGAGTCAGAATCTATAACATTTTGCTTTTCGCCCAATTTTCCAGGCATCGGAGTTCAGAAGAGGAAAACTCAGGAATGACACGTACACTACAGGCTGTCTCAGTGTGACTGTCAGAGCTCCAGTGGTTCGGATCCACGAGACCGTCCCTTGAGCCTTGCGCAACGTTCGCGAATGTATCTCTTGGGCCTTTTTCCACGCTCGCCACTCTCTAGTGTGGGAAAATGCCCAAAAGAAACGTGCGCGAAGGCAGTGCAAGGCCGGAGCGAAGCGGACGCAAAGATCCCTGCCGCTGGATCTCTGACGCTCACAAAGAAATAGCCTAGATT